TGTCTCCGGGAATGAATCGTTAATGGAAACAATATCTAAATTCCTCGATTTTTTGATTCAACCGATAGTGAAGAAATTACCATCATATTTAAAAGATACCACAGAGTTTTTGAATAAATTGAATCAAATTTCTCACGTAAGCACGATGGATTGGCTTGTAACACTCGATGTTACTTCACTTTATACAAATATACCTCATGAAGCAGGCTTGGATGCACTAAATTCGTAGGCTACTGTAAAGTTGAAAATATGAGAATACCATCACAATATATAGTGGACCTTACAACATTAGTTTTGACCAAGAATTATTTTTTGTTTGAGAAAGATTTTTATTTACAAGTTCAGGGTACAGCGATGGGTACTCCAATAGCACCAAATTATGCTAATTTATTTATGGGTAAATTTGAACAGGATCATGTCTATAATAGCAATCCGTTTCATTCCAATATTAAGATTTGGATGAGATACATTGATGATTGTTTTATGATTTGGTCAGGATCTGAAGAAGAATTGGATATGTTCCTGACATTCATCAATTCAAAGATGCCGTCAATTAAATTGTCAATGGAAAAAAATCGTGATTCGATACACTTTTTGGATGTTAAAATAACGAAGATCAATGAGTCATTACATATAACAGTATTTCGAAAAACAACGGATAAAAATACAATATTATCTATTGACAGTTATCATCCAGTTCCTCTAAAACGAAGTTTACCAATTAGGCAACTGTATTGATTAAAACGTAATTGTAGTACTACACATGAATTTGATGAACGGGTAAAATCACAATTTCAACGTTTTCGTTCTAAAGGATATCCACAAAGTTGGTTAAATAATGCATTAGATAAAGTGAATAGACATGATCTTTTGAAAATAGATAAACCCGTTAAAAAACAACGAAATTTCTCAGTAAATTGTTAATTAACATACAATGAGCACAGTAATATGATAAAATCAGTCATTTATAAACATTGGCATATATTATCATCGGATACATCTTTGAATGACACATTTCAGTATTACCCATCGTTTACCTTTAAAAGATCACGTAACCTATCAGATATGCTGATCAACTCAGATGTAGTAAGGAGGAAAAATCTGCTTTTATACAAGGATGTTTTCCGTGCAGAAATTGTGCTGCGCGCCGAAATTTGGTAAAGTGTAGAGAGTTCATATGTCCAATAACACGAAAATGCTTTAAAATGACATCTTGTATTACCTGTTCGACTCGTAATGCGATCTATATGTTAAAATGTCCTTGTCAATATATAT